CGAGTACGGTACACAGCGTCCCCATGCACGCGTGCGCCGGGCTCGGGCAAAAGCCACGACCGGTTGCGCTCTCGCTCGAGCCATCCAGGCATCCATCCAGCTGCTGTGTAGAGTCGTGGTGCACCAGTCTGATGAGTTGTGTTGTGAGGTCTTCGCATACATACACACACCCAGCTGTACCCACACCGCTTCAGCCAGACATCTCGTCGTGCGGGGTCGAAAAGGGAGGCACGGTAGCGCACGGTAGCATCTCGCGCTCTAATCATATTCACGAAAGTTGCGACTCTCACAACTGCCAGTCACCATCATCCTCAGCGCTCCTCTCAGCAACACAACTGCTGAAAGCGCCATATCGCCAACATCCCCTGCATCACTCACGTCAAGCTCATCCTGTCCAGCTCCCACGCCATTCGACATGACCCTTTCTCTATCGCACTATCAGGCACCGCGCAACGCTAGCCCTCCTTTGTTAGGCGGCAGTAGCAGCCAAGCCGGCACTGACTACTTTGGACTGCGGATGACCCTGCCACCAAGCATACCTCACAACTACACTCCTCTCACACCCGTGTCGTTCCTGCTGCGAGCTGCTCTGATCGCACCGGACTCGCCAGCCATCGTCCATCCCGAGAGGGGGGTCAAGTTGACTTACTCGCAATGGGCCGCGAGGACTCTCAGCTTGACATTTGGGATTCTTGGGACGCAAGGATGGAGAACTGGCGAGCGAGTGGCTGTGATTGCGCCAAATTGTCCAATGATCCTCGAGCTACATACAGCCATCCTGGCCGCAGGGGGAATCATCACGCCTATCAAGTGAGCGAAATAGGCACGCGATGTTGGCAAAGAGGTTACACAGGAACGTGATCGCACCAAAGCGCTGACGCCTTGCACGCGCCTACCTGTAGCATTCGCAATACTCCTGCAGAGATCGCCTATATCCTCAAACATTCAGGCTCCCGCTTGATCTTCTGCGACTCCGAGTTTCAACACCTCCTACGCAGCAACGAAAGCTCATCTACCTCCGCCCAAATCATCATCTCGAACGACTCTTGTGGCCGCGACACCTCGGATCCGTACGAGCACTTCCTCGATGCTGGTCACCGAATCTGGGCTGAAGCAGAGCAGCGGGGCGAGAAGAGCTCAACGGGACCTTTCAAAAGAGGTTGGGAGCTCATCGATCACCCGGCAAACGAGGACGCGCCTGCTGCTCTGTGCTACACCAGCGGTACGACGGGCAGGCCAAAGGGCGTGCTGACCACTCATCGAGGTGCGTATCTGGCGGCGATCAGTAACGCCTTCGAAGCGGGCCTAGGCGCCGAAAGCGTCTATCTCTGGGTGCTGCCGGCGTTTCATGCCTGTGGCTGGACGTTTGTGAGTCTCTGCTGCTGCTTCATTGCTTTTGGCACCGTTGGAGACTTCTCACTCCCATCCTACCGCTATGCCTCAGCCATGGGCAGTGAACGCCGCTTTCGCAGCTCACTACATCCTCCGCAAGGTGGACAACAATCAAATCTGGTCTGCGCTCTTGCAAGGTGGTACCACACATTACGCTGGCGCACCTACGGTCCAGATCGGAATCGTCAATCACGCGCGCGCAGAGCGACTGCCTCGAACCATACGTGTCGCTGTTGCGGCAAGCGCTCCCACCAGCGCGCTGCTCTCGCAGATGGAGAAGCTCAATCTTCTGCCGGTCCATGTGAGCAGCCATTGCGATCAGCTGCAACCTCGAGCTTGCTGACAAGTATGCTCTTCGACGCAGGTGTATGGCCTGACAGAGTCGTACGGACCAGTCTCACGACGTGAGTGGGCCCAGAGTCCCGAGTCTTAGTGGGCGACTGCGAGGTGCTAAGCAAAGTCCTTTTTGCACTCAGGATATCCGCATAAATCTTGGGCAGACCTACCTACAGATGACAGAGCACGACTCATGGCGCGACAAGGTCACGGCTTCTTGACGGCCGACGAGGTTCGCGTATGCCGCGTGCCGCCCGAAGACGCAGACCCACAAAGCGTGGCTCTGGAAGACGTGCGCAGGGATGGCAAGGAGATGGGCGAGATCGTGATGAGGGGCAACATTGTCATGCAGGAGTGCGTTGGACGTACTATATGAGATGTCTGTGCTAGCAATGCTGACCATGTGAAACTGAATGCCCTTGCAGGTACTGTAATGATGCGGAGGCCACGCGCAAAACGTTTAGGGATGGCTGGTTCTGTACCGGCGACCTTGCAGTCCGTCACCCTGGCGGCGAGATCCAAATCGCAGGTGAGCGCGCCAGACGACTGGATTGAATCGCCAGATTGCCCGCCAAGGCTCATCTTCTAATGCCCTCTTCTGCAGACCGCAAAAAGGATCTTTACATTTCTGGCGGCGAGAACGTCAGCAGTCTGATGGTGGAGACGGAGCTCTCCTCGCATCCTGCCGTGCTCGAGTGCGCTGTGGTGGCGCGCAAGGATCCAAAGTGGCAAGAAGTTGGGCATGCATTTGTCGTCTTGCGTCCTGATCATCGAACATCTGAGAAGGAGCTGCAAGAGCATTGCCAGAAGCACATGAGCAAGGTAAGTGGGTGTATGTGCCCGCTTTGCTTCACCGCTGCGTGTCTGACGTTCCATCGTGTTCGCGCCCCATGCTTCGTCGTAGTTCGCGGTGCCAAAGTTTGTGGACCTGGTGGCGGAGCGTGAGTCAAGCGCACCGGCGCACGTCACCTGGAATGATGACATTTGCTAACTTCACCCCTTGCAGTCCCCAAAAATGCAACAGGAAAACTTCAGAAGAACGTCCTGCGCGAGCGTGTCGCAAAGCTCGCGGAAAGCGCGGCAGATCGCCAAGCTAAGAGCAAGCTGTGAAGAGAGTTCGCACACATCTCCTACCAGCACCACAAGGTGACCTTGTTGTCTGATCGTCATTGCGACTTGGCATGGAGCCTGCGCTGAAGCTGGTAATAGGCTGTGACATATATCGCTTTCGCCAGACGCCGCTGCTTCTGCACGTACTTAGGACTGGAACACCACCACATCAGGCGTATCAAGGTGAAGCGTGTGCTTTGACATCATTTATTGCATCTGATCAATTACAATCTATCGCAGACGAACGAGCCGGCAGTCTACTGCTTGTTGTTGAACATCATAGGGGCAGAGCCAGCGAGGCCACCGACCATGTCACCGCCGATGCCCCTCATTCCAGCACTTCCGCCCATCTTGCCGAGAGCGCCCGCTCCAGTCCTGAGCAGACCAACAGCGGCACCAGCCAAACGCCGGTCGAGATGCTGACCATCCTCGTCTTCCCATTGAGCAGAGTTCTGGACGTCACGTGCGGCGGGTTGCTGCCCTCCGCCGCCGCCGCCTCCCATAGGCATCATCATGAAAGGCAAGGACCCGGCGAGGCCACCGACTCCCTGCCCGACAATATTGCTCATCATGCCAGGCTCCTTTTCTGGTCCACCTGCTGGGTTAGGCTTGCCCGGTGTGGGTGGGTCCGCCTTGGGCTTGGGCTTGGGCTTGAGGAAGCTGGGGACCCTTGGTGCGCGTGCCATCAGTGTGTGGATGTGACCCGTCTCTTCAACGTCGCGAAGACCCAAGGCTGGCGCACCCATCATGGCCATCATAGGGATAGATCCAGCGAGACCGCCGACGGCATTAGCGCCGACATCCTTTGCGAATCCTCCTCTTCCTCCCTTGGGGGAACGAGTTTCAAGGGGTTCGTCGACGTCGCGAAGGCCCAGGGCTGGCGCGCCCATCATGGCCATCATAGGGATAGATCCAGCGAG